CTTGGATGAGGGGGTAAAAAGCACCCTGTTCAAATTTGCTGATGACACTAAGATGTGGAGGGATGTGGGCACGCTAGAAGGAATAGGCTGCAATCAGACCTGGCCAGGTTACAGGGGTGGGCAGATAAGAACAGGATGAGTTTCAACACTGACAAGTGCAAGGTGATGAACCTGGGGAGAAAGAACCAGCACCATACCTACAGGCTGGGGAACTCCCTTCTCATCAATGCAGAGGCAGAAAAGGATCTTGGAATCACTATGGATGCCAAAATGAACATGGGCCGGCAGTGTGGGGATGCAGTCAGGAAGGCCAACCATAACTTGTCATGCATCCACAGATGCATCTCAAGCAGGTCCAAGGAGGCGATCCCTCCCCCTCTATGTGACACTGGTCAGGCCGCAGTTGCAGTACTGCATCCAGTTCTTGGCACCGCACTTCAAGAGGGACATGGACAACATGGAGAGGGTCCAGAGGAGGGCCACTCGCATGATCGGGGGCAGCAGGGCAGGCGCTATGAGGAGAGGCTACAGGACCTGAACCTGTACAGCCTCCACAAGAGAAGGTTGAGGGGGGATCTAGTAGGCTGTTACAAACTAGTCAGAGGGGACCAGCAGGCATTGGGGGAGTCCCTGTTCCCCCGAGTACTACCAGGAATGCTTAGAAAGAACGGTCACAAATTACATTCAAACTAGACATCAGGAGGCGCTACTTCACTGTCAGGGTGGCTAGGATCTGGAACCAACTTCCAAGCGAAGTGGTGCTGGCTTCTACCCTGGAGGTCTTCAAGAGGAGGCTAGATGAACACTTTGCTGGGGTCATTTGACCCCAGTACTTTTTCCTGCCAAGGCAAGGGGTCGGACTTGATGATCTGCTCAGGTCCCTTCCAACCAAACAAACTATGAAACTATGACATGTACACCACAGGTTGGCCACCCCTGTCCTATAGCATGCACATTTTAAAGGGGTGACTGAAGACTGGCTTGATACCTTTCTGGTTCATGTGCACAGTTTAAAAAGGGCCCAGCAACATCAAAAGCCACACTTAGGTCCTGGCTCTGGTGCGAGACACATGGGTGAAATCCTATTGCACCCCCATGAGCTCAGGGACCCTCCCAAGAGACCTCAGGATCCCCAATAATCCCAGCCTGCCCACAGGTAAGCAGAGGCACGTTGTGGGAGGGATGTAGCCCAGCAGGAAGGCAACTGAATGGAGCCGAGGAGGGTCACACCCCCCAGCTCCTACCTGGGCCAGCCTCCCAGGGACCCACATTTCCAGGCCACTGGCACATGAGACGGGGGGCACTTATGTGTCCCCTCCTTTGGTTGGGGAAGGGACCGCCCTAGCTCCTCCACAGCAGCATGGCACCAGCAGGCTCTTTTGCACATGTGCACAGTTTAAAAAGGGCCCAGCAACACTTGGGTCCTGGCTCCAGTGCAACACGCATGGGTGAAAGTCCGTTGCACCCCCATAAGCTCAGGAACCCCCCAAAAGACCCCAAGACCCTCAACAAGCCCCAGCCTGCCTGCAGATAAGCAAGTTAGAGGGACACAGCCCAGCAGGGAGGCAGCTGAGTGGAGCCAAGGAGGGTCACGCCCGCCCCCCCGGCTCCTACTTTTCCCAGCCCTACAGGGATCCATGCGAGAGGAGCCTCGTGAACATGACATGAAAAAAAGCATGCTTATGCACCCAGTGCACAAGTTAGTGCAGGAGTTTGCGCAGGAGGGCCCAAGGCCCTGCCAGTGAGCCCCAGGGAAGGTACTCCCATCAGTAGCCGGGCCACCAGCAGCATAGTATGGATGGGCACACACCACACCCCAACGGCCCCCCTCTGGCACCTCAGAGGCCTCCACCCAGATGGAATCCATGGTTCCAGGCTCCACGCAGATGGAACCTCTGACTCTCAGCTGCGGGGACTGCCTGGCATGTTTCCAGGCTCACGGGACCGGGAGCATGGCCACCTCCCCTTGCAAGGTTTGCTCCACTTTGTAGTCTGTGAGGCACCAGATAGAGGAGCTCCAGGCTGCAGTCCAGAGACTGCATGCCATCAGGGATGGTGAGTGGGAGATAGACTCCTACTTCCAGGCCTTTCACCCCCTGGAGGCAGAGGTTAGACAAAGGTCACCTTCCAGGACAAGGGATCACTCGGGGATTTCCCATACTGTGCAGCCAGGGGGTTGGAACAAGGTGGTCCAGGACCCCAAGACCTACTGTACCAAGGTCCCCTCCCCTCTGGGGCTTTGCAACAGGTACAAACCTCTTCCAGCCCCAGTACAGCCTGCAGAGATGCCAGCTTCTGCAGGCAAGGGAGGATCACCCATCCCTACTCTCCCTAAGACAAAATGCAGAGTGGTCATTATGGGATACGCCCTCCTGAGGGAAACTGAGGGGACAATCTGCTGCCCTGACCCCCTAGACTGGGAGCCAGGCTACTTCCTG